GCCAGTCCATCAGATCTTACAGGACCTTGGAGTCAGCATTATGAAAATTATCTACCATGTACTGTAGATCTGCAGAGGGCAGCTCAGTAAAATTCTAGAATGAATAAATGCCAGAAACAAGAGTGTCCACTGTATGGGCCTTTCTGGATTCCTTTTTAGATGGTTGTCATTTTTAAAATAGAGTAGTCTAATCTGATTTATTAGGTGTCATGAATATCAGGCTGGCAATTGCAGCAAAAAGTGGCCTATCAAAGAAATATATCTTATTATGACCTGAGGTACTGGTCAACACATCGTTGTTACATATACAGGTGTTTGTATAATAATGCAGCCAGGAATTCCCAAGGAAATCAGTTCTTTTTCTTTTCCATTTCTTCTGTTGCTCTGCCAAACAAAACAAAACCCTAAGGTAAACCAAATGTCTGAATCAGTGAAACAGTTTGATGAAACACTGTAATAAGATAAATTATAATCTGCCAGAAACTTTCCTCTCTACAGTTCTTAAAATCTAATCATATCTAAGGGCAGAAAGGCTTTCTGACGTAGCTCTCTAGAAACAATTATTTTCTTTTCAAAACAGCTAGGATCATTCTGGTACTGATCAGATATACTTCTCCAGCTTCATACAAATACGTATCTTCCCTGTCCTCTGAGAGATGGTGACTGTCTCTGCCCTCTTACCTTCACAATGGAAGGGACAGCCAACATTACATGGATGACCTGTTATAGTGGTTGGCATGGTTACTAGAAAGCTAGCTTTTAAGCCACTGCATGAAGGCTGATCTAATGTAGTATATTCAGGGTGTCACAAAGAGCACAAGCAAGGGGCATTAAGAAACACGGTGCTGTAACCTTCCATACCAGTATTGCCCCCAGTGGAGCATGTAACAGTTACTTTGTATAACCGTCTGATGGTGTTTTCTGCCTTTTTTGTTTGTTTGGGAATTTGAATATTGCAGGTTAACTTATAAAGTAAAATTTTATAAGGGCAAAATAAACATAGTGCTATATATGTAATTAAAATAGTGAAACCCTTAGCATACTTGGAGTGGCTTGGAGGAGAATTAGGGTAGAACTTCAACTTGCTAACGTTCAGTTAGGCCCAGGTTTGACATTTGGAGGTGATAGTTTGAGAGAGTGATGGTGCCTCCTTCCCATGGAGGAAACAATGTCTACAGTACTCAGTGTGATCAGGGACTTGGCCCTTAATGAAATGTCGAATAGAGGTGAATTTGACTTATTTTATCGTGTGGTCCAATTCTAGCCAGATGCTGTGGATACGAGACTGAGACAGGAAAACTCACGTTCTGCTTCAGATGGCATTGCCCCTGGAGATCTGGTCTTTCTACTGCATGCTAGGAATTGACCAGATGAGGTGTTTGGGTCCCAGCCAGATTCTTTGGTTCATTGTAGATTTGTACAAACTTACCTGGTCTTGTCATCTATAGAGGTAGGATGATCCGTGGTCATGTTTCCTTCTACTTCTTGAGGTTAATAGGATTGTAGGGTCAAAGTTAAAAGATGTCATGAAGAGTATCTGTTTCTGCTCATATTCTGGACTATCTGTCCAGTAAGGCCCAGCTGTAATGTTTGTAAGACTTTACTCACCTGATTTGCTATTTTTTTCAGGCTACAACTGAGGTGGAAATTAAGAAGAAAGGCCCTGGATCTCTCTTAGTTTCCATGGACCAACTGGCCTCCTATGGACGGAAGGACAGAATCAACAGTATATTGAGTGTTGTTACAAATACACTAGTTGAAGGTATGTGCCCTTGATGTCAGTCCAAGCCACCAAGATATCAATATGTAGTGCGCATGATAAATATAATCCCTGTCCATTGGCCTGAGTTTTGCAAAAATTGACTCTGAACTTTAGGAATAGAGTCTACTGGTTGTAGAAACCAGCATCCCAGATCTGCATGCAGAGACTCAAATAAGGACTTCAGAGCTGCTGCCAGCATCGTACACAGATAGGTAAGAAGAATGAAGGAATGACAGTCAGGGGTGAGCTAGAAGATCTCAAGACCGTAATGGTCATGAGGAGCCAGTGGAGTGAGGTGAGGCGTAAAGGCTGTAGACTGAAGAACTGTGAAAAAAGGAAATGATGGAATCCCCTCCGTGCCCTCTGCCCCAAAACATACCTTCCTCTTTTCCTTGTTAGCTACCTACAGCCCTCTTGGTTTTCCCTGAAGGACTAATGTACTGTGCATTTTGATTGCACCTAATTCTGCCTCTCATCAAACACCCCCACGTATCCATAAATATATTTGATGTGTGAATAGGTAAGCCGAAACCCCTCTTATTTCGGCTCTCTGTGCCACAGGGAAAGAACAGGCACTGTTGAATCATAGTGTATCTGCAGTAACGTTGCTGTCAGTGCTTGTACTTGGTATTGGGTGGCTCCGCCACGACACAGCCTGGCATGCTGAGGAATATCAGGATTTTCCATGACCCCACAGTCCCCTAGCAAGTATCAGCTCTCTGTCCAACTGTGGTCTGTATTCCAGGCTCCTCTTGCTTTCTCTGGAGGTAGATTCACTGACGGGGTTTTCTCTCACGAGATTCTGATTGATTCTGCATGAATCTTCTTCTTTTGATTCACGTGGATTCCCCTGAGCTGTCCCACTATAGATCCAGAATATTCTCAAGGCCTCAGATTGCTGTTCTTCAGAGTTCAGACCCCCAGGCTAACCCAACAATAACCAGAGTTCCTGAGATAAGGAGATTCAAAACTATCCTGGTGTCTTTGCGACAAGTTATTTTTTGAGTCATTTGAGCCCAATACCACTTCTACTCTGAGAGAAAGGGAATGAGAGAGAGAGTGTGTGTTCATTCATTCGGCAAGCATCCGTGATAAAGGGAGAATCCCCAGAAAGGAACTCCCCTAGATTGTTTACATTCCCACATGTGAGCAAGGTGTTAGACTGTATGTAGACTAATCTGAAGAATGTATCACGTAAAAAGAATATTGAGTTAACTGTTTTCAGCTGCCTGAACATTTATTCCTGTTTTCCTTTAATTCTCATCGAGGTCATCATCTGAGAAAATATCTTTAAACTTTGTAGTTTATACTTTGAGATCACAGGCAAATAACTGCAGAGCATAAGAATTCCAAGCTAAGGGGGCGCCTGGGTGGCTCAGTCGTTAGGCGTCTGCCTTCGGCTCAGGTCATGATGCCAGGATCCTGGGATCGAGCCCCGCATCGGGCTCCCTGCTCCGCCGGAAGCCTGCTTCTCCCTCTCCCACTCCCCCTGCTTGTGTTCCCTCTCTCGCTATGTCTCTGTCAAATAAATAAATAAAATAAAATTTTTAAAAAATCTAAATATTAGATAGGGAAGGGAGAGTTGATGTTGAGCCATGTTTGATTCTAATAATAAATAATACTGTCTACAAATATTTCATCACCAAAACACCAATTGGAAAAAAAACTCACTAAGAGATACATTTTAATAAAATTTTCTTTTTAAGCTTAGTAATTACTTATAAAATGTGTATGTATATATCTTGATCAATCTTATTGATAAGAATTGTAATAAAAAATCAATCCAAGAGAATTTTTAAAAATTCTTAGAGACTCATGGTCACAGGAATTTTTTTTAAATTTTAAGTACGGTTTATTTATAACTTTTTGTTGAAGAAAATTATTGATCAAAGGTGATCAATAAAATATAGTAAAGCATAAAAATATACATTAGCATACAATTCTCTAGGGAATATGGGATTGGAAGTATGGGTTGAAAGAGAAAAAGAAATGAGGAAAAATTTGTAAGTGATAAATAAAAGTTTTATTTTAAATTGTCAGTGCAGGGGCATATGGGTGGCTCAGTCGGTTGAGGATCTGCTTTCTGCTCAGGTCATGATCCTGGAGTCCCGGGATTGAGATCAAGCCCCACATTGGGCTCCCTGTCAGCAGGGAGTCTGCTTCTCCCTCTGCCCCTCACTCTGCTCGTGCTCTCTCTCATTCTCTCTCTCAAATAAATAAAATCTAAAAAATAATAATAATAGTAATAAAAATAAATACAGTGTCAGTGCAGAGGGCACTTGGGTGGCTCAGTTGGTTAAGCGTGTGACTATTGATCTCAGCTTGGGTCTTGATCTCAGGGTTGTGAGTTCAAGCCCTGAGTTGGGCTCCACACTGCATGTGGAACCTACATAAATAAATAAATAAATAAATAGTGCTGGGAATTATGTAATTTACATATTTAAACTTTTGATGGAGGCGCTTGGGTGGCTTAGTCCATTAAGCATCTGCCTTTGGCTCAGGTCATGATCCCAGGGTCCTGGGATCTAGCCCCACATCCCGCTCCCTACTCCCTGCTCCGGCGGGGGGGAGCCTGCTTCACCCTCTCCCTCTACCCCTCCTCCCACCCCCTCATGCTCTCTCTCTCTCTTTGCACTCTCTCTCAAATAAAATCTTTTAAAAAAATACACTTTTGATGAAAAAAATGTTGACTTTAAAATGGAGTAGGTGGGAGCATACCTGATATTCAGCTGAACAAAACATGCTTCAAGACCACTGTTGGCATAGGACTTACCTCCAGGGCGTGTACTTATTGAGAGAATAGCAAGTGATAAAGCACTTTTACATTCTGTCCTTTTTGTCAAGTGTGGCATGGACTCTAGCTTGAGTAAATGAAAGGCACACTTGATGTGAGCTCAGAGTAATGAGAAACAGACACACCGATGTGTTTCCCGGGGGATTAGCTACATAGAGCTCGAGATAAAAGCATCGTTGCAGTGCATGGGTGAACGGTGAGTAGGATTTTGGTATGGTTAGCTGGTTGCGAGGCTATGGGGCAAGAAGTGAGTGCTTACGGGTGTTGAGTAGTACTACAAACGCAACGCCCGGAAGTGCTTTCTGGGAACACTTGTGTTCCGATAGCAGGAGTGCAAGGCTGGGGCCAGGATGGGGAGGCAAACAGCCTTTGCTCAGCCTGTGCGGGGTCCCCTTCCCGTCTCACGGTGTCTCTGTGTCTTTCTCTGTCTCCTTGCCCCTGCAGTCACTGCTCAGCATCCCGGGCTCCCCGTTCCTCTCCCGGCACAACAGCAAAAGCAGCATCTTCAGCTTCAGGGGGCCCGGGCGGTTCCGCGACCCGGGCTCGGAGAACGAGTTCGCGGACGACGAGCACAGCACGGTGGAGGAGAGCGAGGGCCGCCGGGACTCGCTCTTCATCCCGATCCGGGCCCGCGAGCGCCGCAGCAGCTACAGCGGCTACAGCGGCTACAGCCAGGCCAGCCGCTCTTCGCGCATCTTCCCCAGCCTGCGGCGCAGCGTCAAGCGCAACAGCACGGTCGACTGCAACGGCGTGGTGTCCCTCATCGGCGGCCCGGGCTCCCACATCGGCGGGCGGCTCCTGCCAGAGGTGAAAATAGATAAGGCAGCTACCGATGACAGTGTAAGGAAGTAAACACATAGACCGAGCCTAGGCATGGCAGTCTTTCCCGCGCCCTCCTCTCTTCTCTCCCGCCCGGCCTCTGGCTCCCACGCTCAACTCT